TGACTAACATTGAGACAGGTCTTAGCTTAAAATTTTCATTTACCACCATCAGATCCGAACTGGGGTAGAACGTACCAGTTCAAGTTTTTCTTAAACACCATGCAGTTGAGAATAAAAGCTTTTTACTCTCACTTTTCCATCTTATACAAAAAAATTTGTTAAACTTCCAAATTGATTTTCGTAAAATTCAATGTTTAATTGAAAGGAATTGTTTCGAAGTCACTCTTTCTTTCGTGTAATTCAATGTTGCAATCCGACATTTCGTGCATTATATTTCATCATCCTTGGTTTTTTGAAATATGGACCTCTAATTTTTTCAATCGAAGTTGTAGCCGGTGTATTAACAAATTCAGATTTGTATTACAAAACTGGTCCGTATTAAAAAAAAATAAGTTGATAATGAAATCTGATAAACTCATCAACTTCGCATTGCAAATTGGTTTATACCAGATTGAAACAATTATGAAACAGTATTGAAAGTTCTTCTGCCTTTTTGGGTATTATTCTAAATATATGCGGTAGAGCCAAAAACACGAAATTCGACTATTCTAGTTTTTGGCGAATATTTCAAAAACAACCACTGATGGTGTTCGAGATCTGAAAAGAGATTACTCTAGTTCCCAATAAAAGGAAATTTTGTCTAATTTAACCGACTTTTTAGGTCTTATAGGTACCATTTCCTAGATAGTAATAGTGGCATTAGCATAAAAATCGGACTGTACATTTATCTTGATTCGATTTATATCCTTGAGAGCAGTTGTTTAATATTACACGTTTTGTATCAGCTCCACCTGTAAGTATGTTTGTGTGTTTGAAACTCTCGAAGTCGGGATCTGTATTTGACAGAATTATCGACATTATTGCTTGATCTATTTGCGGACAGATGGCGCTGTAACCTCCTTGATATATCGACATTATTGCTTGATAAATTCGCGGGAAGATGGCGCTGTACCTAACGTCCTTGATATAATTCGAACTCACTTTTCATGTATTTCTTCATTTGAAAAAAGTTTATTTTATCAACACGCGCACCTGCTGCCTCATTTCTAACCCTCCTTTTTAGTTCGATGTTCTTTAAAAGCGTGTTTTTCAGTTTTTCAAACTATATTTTTATTATTCACAGAGAACTCATGAATGGTCATAATAGTATTGTTTCTATTTGAGCGATTATCAGGGCCGTATTTTAAAAAATTGTGTTGGAATTGGCCGATAATTATAGTTTATGCACTTCATTGTGAGATTTTCACTAGACGGTTCACATAACTTCAACACATGACTTGTTAAACAATTTGCTTTTCAAGTGTTTGATATTCAAAGTGATTTTGAGTGTTTAATACAAAATTGAGCCAACCTAAAAATGTTCATTATTGAACAAGCCTAAAGTAGAGCATAGTAAAACATGTGTTGCGGTTGGTACAAATTTGACAAAAAAATGAATAAAATACACTTTTATAAAAATAATTCGCCTGATGTTTCTCTATATCATCATACTTCATGATATTTTTTTTTATTATTTGAAGATATGAACCTGAATTTTCCTCACCTTCTAAACTAGGATCAGCTCTTAGGTTCTCGATGAGATTTTCAGTTAATTCATCCACATTGTTTTCTGGCTGGTTGCTTGCAAAATTATTGTGCAATAGAATCAAATTTATGAAAAGTAAAATTACAACCACGCTGTTGATGCGAATCATCTTCAAGCACTACTGTTTCAAATTCGTTTTTTGATTCAAAGATATAAGTAGGTACTCCATATTTTTTGTTCAATACAAAGTATCATCATAGGCGTAGTTTCAGCATTTCTCTAAAGGTGCCTACAGTAAGGAGTTGCTGGCAATTTATTTACAATATATCTTTGAAATGAAATGAGTATTTATTCTATCAAAAAAGAACTAATTCAATCAAAGAAGTGGGTAGATATTTCTCATAAGGTACATGATTTATAAGTCAAGAAACTGGATTTGATGTTGAGTCTATTCATTCACTTCTCTTCGGTTCATTTAGAACTGTAGTATTTGGTATCAGTTTGAATACTATAAAATAAAGTTGTATTTTCAAATTGTGAGAAGTTCACTATTGATTTATACAAACTTTAAAACATATCACATATCAGACATATTTTAGATATACACACTCAAACTTTTCACCTTCATTCATCTGGTGAAATAATAACTACATATTATGGGTCACTATTCCTCATCGCGTGTGTCTGTCTGTCTGAACGAGATAAATTCAAAAACTACCGAACTTATTTTAATACGGTTTACAAAATTGAATGAGTGGTTCAAAACGAAGGTTTATATGTATTATTCATTGATGCTATTTGTAGATTGGTTGTTATATGACAATATTTTCGTGATGAGTCGAGGTGGCAATGTTACGCATGTGAAATGATGAAATTTTCATCGAAAACGCTGCCTAATCCCTTTGAAATATAACAGAATGATTCAAATATGTACCCCTCTCAATTCAATTCAGTATATGTTGTTCTTTTTTATTGGTTTATAAAATAGTTCTGGATGGCGTGGAAGTGGCATTCAGACCACATGCCAAGTTATCTGATTTCCTTTTTAATGCCAAAGATATAGTGGACAAGATAGAAAAATCTGGAGTTTATGAGCTTGAGTGTTCAGAGGGTACCTAATAGTGTTTATGTGGGACAGTATGATGGAAATTTATCCAAACGGTATGCTGAATATGAAAGGTCCTTCAGACTGGGGAACTTGTGGTTGCACGACGTTTTCGTCGTGCAACCACAATTTCCCCAATCTAAAAGATACGGAAATTTTGCACTATTCAAGCAAGGATGTGGGATCCTTAGAAATTCATAAGCATAAGCGCTGATCAAATCGACCTAGTTTACTCACTGGTTTTCAAATTGGCATACCCACATTGTCACAGGTAAACAAAATGCAGGTACTCAATTAAGTCAGGTACCTTTGTTATCACCCACAGAGGTGTTTAGATCTATAAGGACTAATATTATCAATTATTTTCAGTTTATCATAAGTTTGAAAATGTCCCAATAGGACGAAACTGCAGTAACGTCAGTTACAAATAAAAGTGGTAAAAAAATATAGAAAGTTTTATTTCTCATTTTTCATGATGATCTCCTACCACGTAGTAAGGCTACATTCATCAATTTATTGCTCCAAATTAATTGACTGTACTGAAAAAATTACATCAACTCTACAAAAATGTTTGACAGCTCTTATTTTTTATGTTTCGTCACGGGACCAGGACGTCTGAATAGTAAAGGGCGATGTGTTATTTTGGGAAATGTTTGGGAAAAGTTCCTGCACCGCAAGTTATTCTTGATTCAGGAGTAATATCTTCATCAGGTGCAATTGTATCTCAGAATATTTCATTGTGATATTTTCTTTCAGTTACTTTTCGAAAGAATCGACTTTCCAACTATGAAACCTTGACTATGCTGAAAACACTAAAAGCATCATTGAAGGCACGTTCATGCTTATCCGAATATTCGCATTTTTGTTTGTTCAATAAAGAAATTACAATTCAAAAATAGTTTTGTGTTTTTTTACGATCAAAAACACTCATTGATTGAATGCGCACATTTGCATCTATTGCTTAAAATGAACAAGCCTCCTCACGCTGGCCAATCNCAGTTACGTTTTAATGCCTGTGGTGTGTACATATACGGTATTTTTAAGTTCAAAATTTTCAAAATATCAAGTGCTGATACCGCTGAAGAAACTGCTGATTTGTGTTTCTACACCCCACCTAAAAAATGGCCAAAAAAATGCACCTCAATATTAATGAAAAAAATGTAATTATGAACAATCACAATAATCAAATTGAAGCAAATCCTTTATTGTTAGTTGACGAAATCGTGAGAAAATTGGGAGACATTGCTGGAGTGTCTCCTTCAAATGTCTATAGAGTTTTGAGAGAGTATAAACGAAAGCATTCATTTTCGGCTCCAAGAGCATATCCCTCACGAAAGAAAATTATTGATAGGTAAACGGTTTTGATTCGAACGCTATTAGAAGGAAAGTAGATACATCATTTTTCTCGAAACGAAATGCCAACAATAAATTCAGTTCTGAAATTTGTAACGATAATCCTGATCTACCACAAATTATTGAAGAAATTAAGATTTAAATTCAAAAAAAAAGAGGGAAAAATAGTTTGTTGCTCGAGAAACCAGAAATAGTATTGCAGAGACGACAATTTTTAATGAAAATAAGAGGTTATAAAAGAAAAGAATCTATTACCTGGATCGAACTTGGGGAAACGCATCACCAAATTTTTTTTTTGATGAATCAATAACTTCTTCAAGACAAGCCTTTTCAGATAGCCTCTCAACTGACTTGAAGAACCCTTTAGGTAAGAATCACCTTATTATACTTATGAAAAGAAACTCTACTTCTGTTTCAATTGAAACAAAATGAATCATTTTTCAGGAAAAGGCAAAAGATTGATAATATGCCACATACGAAGCGAAACCGGGGATTAATCTTCCTTGCGTTAAGGTATTTCAAAAGGCATTAAAACCCATGATGTGCATTCTTCGAAAAGAATGGAAACGCACGGAATCATTCATGGCTTGAGGTAAAATTTGTATCAAAAAGTGAAAGTGAAAAATAAAGTTGAAGTTTGGCTATGAATCAGCCAATATTAAGTAATGAAAATCAATGAAATGTGATATTCAAAGTGAAAAATATATAAACCACCATTTCTTTCGCTGTTTAGTTTTATGTTACTTATTCGTTCATTAGCGCCAGTAAAATATTTTCCAATGAATTGTTTTTAAATTTGCATCAAAGAGTCTCTCACTCTCATTCATTCAAAAATATCAACTCAATTCAGGGAATTTTATAAATACGAATATTCATTGAAAATGAAAAATAAAAAAATCACCAACTGTCGCATTATTTGTGAATTTTTTGGGGATTTTTAAATTTTGAGGGGGAAATCGAGCATGGATGGTCTGGCAACCCCGCATCTTCTCTTAACCTAAAAAGCAGTAAATGACACTTAAGTCTATGTTTACATGTTAATTGTTTTGATGAAAGTTTACAGTTTTATTTTCAAACTCAGTTGATTTATGAAACTTGTTATAAAAAATTCTGTAAAGTAATGTGCTAATAGCAGTTCTATGATGAATGTCTCTATATTCATGCTCAACTGAATCATTTCTGAAGGATTTAACCACACATATTTGTAAGAATATTTGAAATCCAAAAATGGGCTCCACTACTTCTCAATTTCAAGATGTTTTCTCACAAATTCTGAGTGAAGACCCTATCAACACTCTTTTATCTGAAGAGATAAACAGTTTAACTTATGAACAATTTCTTGGTATTCTCGGTGAATTGAATTTGCTGTGAGTGAAATTCTTGTTTACTTATGTTATATTTCACATTTGACTGAACTAAATAAGGTGCAAAATCCCATCTAAAATATATACTTGATGCTACTGCTCAAATATCAGACCTTAATGCTACAAAAAAAATGAACCAAGAATAATTTCGTGACACTATGTATCCCTAAGTTGAAGGTTTCGATAATAAATCTTGAATGTGTCACTGTTTATATTGGAAGAGAAGATATTCCTCCTGCATGTAAAGTGAACAGTTATGGCTTAATATCCTATAATAATTCAAAGTTCATTCAGCAAGTTAACCCAGTGAATAGGAAGATGTGAGGAAGTCCATACAAAAAATTTAATCAAAAACTGATACAGCACTTCGGTACTTTTAGCTGTTATTGTGACCTGACCTACTCAGTTCTAGTTCTATATTGGCGAACAAAAGTACGTTCAAGGACAAACTGAACCAATTTTGAAAAATTATTCTGATAACATAACTCAGATTGAAATTCATACAAAATGTTTTAATTTTTTTTTTAAGAATCGTCAATTTGGTTCAAATGTGCTTATAATCGAAGAGTAGAAATGGAATATTTGTTAATAGTTTTTCTAGAAAGTTATTGTGTAATATATTTGTGTTTCTTCAAATGAGATGACATGAGTGTCTTTGAGTGCAGAAGCCAAAGAGGCACTTGTGTTATCTCATCGAAGAAAAAAAAATACATGATGAAACTCAGAATTAGCAGGTTGAAAAACATCGAAAAGTCTCAAATTTTATGACATTCAAACAACAGTGTTATGCCGCCAATTCATGACATACCTACAGCTTATCTAATCTAGGAAGAGACTTGAGAATTCTTTCTCTCTCACTTTCTCACACTCATAATCTTCTATTGAAGGCACATCTAGGAGGCGGGACCATAACGGAATTCAGAAAGAGATCTTTACATTTGACAAGCTGTAATAAGTTCTATGTTTGAAATATCCCTGAGTCACCAGTCTTATAAATTCACGGAACCTCATAAGAAATGTAACTCAGGTTTACTTATCAAAATAACAAGGTGTTTCGGAGATTGCAACTTTGTAAATTATGCCAATATTACTTTCATAATTTTGAGGCAAGAAGTACTGCTTTGGATCAAGTATTGAAGTATAGAGTTCAATTATAGTTCAGGTGTCGTCAAATTACGTATTTTCTTCAAACTTTAGTAACAATAATAAGGTTGAAACTAGTGAGAGCTATGAATTGGTGCAATCTGTCATTTTAACATGCAATTTCTAGCATGAATTGGCAAAAATAGAATTCTTTCACCTGTATATGAAAACGATTATTTCACACTCTTGAATTTCTATAATAGACTTCTCCAAATCATCAAGAGAGCAGAGAATTATTGTGATCATTTCACAAGGTAATTCCCAATTTCGAGTATACTTTATAAGTTAAAGGTAGACAAGCTGCTTGGAAAAAAATATTTTCACAAAAAAAAAGTATTTCAGACCATGGCACCCTCAAAGTTATAAAATATTTCATGACATATTTTTGAAAATCCCTGCTATCATATTTTTATCTCAAGTTTCTTGAAGTTATGATTGTTTATAAACATTAGTCATCCATTACTACAATTCTTATGGATGTTTAGCCACAGCACCCTAACAAAGAGAGTAATTCCTTTTTCACTGAATTAAGGAGTATGATTCAAGTATCTTTATGGGTCATATATCCTTAGATTGTTTGTGGCTGTAAAATCATGGACTATTCAGTTGTTCCTAGTTTATTTGCATTTAATTTTTGTATATAATAGGTACTCACAACTTTTTATTCATTGTCAAATTCAATTGTGAAGTAAATGAAAAATGAATATATTTTTTACCAGAACCAAAAAATGTCTGGACTCTGATGGAAACCAGTTGGTATTTGCGGTCAAGAGAGATTCTGATTCAACAATATTTTGGAAAGCTACAGTGCAGATTGCTTGTGTGAAAATAGACCCTGTTACTCAAAAGGTTGGGACATTCAGACTGCTATCACTAAGTGAATTTTTGAAAGTCTTTAAAACCTTGAAGTGCCAACTTGTAGCAGTGGAACATTGTGAAAGGTACGAATTTCCAGCATTTTTGCGTTAAAAAATATAACTTTCATTGTCCATATAATTGCCTAAATTCAATGTAGCTGCACTACAGTGCATCTATGGAAATATTGTCAAACAACTAGATGTGAGAAATAATAGAGGATGTTTGACCAGTTTTCGAATTATAATTTAAGAATTGATTTTTTTTCAAATTAACGTACTTGCATACTTTTTCTTGTGATTCCATTTTTTTTTATTCATTCATCTCGAAAATCCTAATAGGAAGTGTTATTTTTCAAATTTCAACATTAAAATAATTGATCAACTCGATAAAGGCAATGAAGTAACTGGTATTTATTTTGACCTAACGAAAGCTTTTGACCTCGTTGATCGTGAGCTACTAATGCTAAAACTAGAGTGCTATGGTGTTAGAGGAAAAGCCAATAATCTAATAAAATCTTACCTCAGCAACCGAACACAAATAATCGGTATCTCATCTAAAAATAATTTAAAATCTTCGGTATCCTACTCCGAAAAAGTACAATCTGTCATAGGAGTGCCTCAGGGATCCATACTCGGTCCAATTCTTTTCTTGATATTTATCAATGACATAAGTCCCCAAATAGACATCAGCTCAGTTTTTCTGCTCGCTGACGACATCTCAGTTGTTGTGTCAGAGAGGGATAATAATTCTCTGAATGAAACATCTAATGTAACAGTGTCTCGAGTTATTGAGTGGTGTGAAAAGAACTACCTCTTAATCAATAAAAATAAAACCAATTATATACATTTCAGAAAGGGTACGGAAGCCCCACTACATATCAATATTGACAATAATTCTGAAATAGATGAAACATTTCCCTTCAAATTTTTAGGGATTATGATAGATAAAGAATTGCGTTGGACTGATCAGGTAAAAGCAGTAATGGGTAAATTAACATCAGCTTGTTGTGTCATAAGATACCTCAGGTATCACATAAGTATTAACAATATCAAAATGTTTTATTTTGCTTATGTCCATTCGGTGATTGATTATAGCATAATATTTTGGTATCATGCACCAACATCCAAGGATATATTCATCTATCAGAAAAAAATCATAAGAACTATGCTTAACCTGAAAAATGATACCTTAGTTTCAAAGCTTCCTACTTGTTATAAAGTAGTTATTGTCGAAAATAAAAAAATGCATTTTTTCACTGGCTCAGAAAAATGAATCGCATAGTACCTTTGACATTTTTTTGTGACTCAAGAGATACAGTTTTTTGTTGAAGTAAAAAAAAATAGTACTTTCTACTAAGTTTTTTGAGATAAGTTAAAAATGGCATTTAAAAAAATATTTCCATAGATGGCGTCATAATGTCACCATATTGAATTTAGAGAAAATGATTCCTACAGTGTCTCTTCGAAAAAAAATTGCCCCTTGTGTTATATCAGTGAAAAGAGAATTTTATACTCCAGTGAATGTCAAATATGCAGATTCTTGACTTGAGTTCATTTCTCATTAAACCAAAATAGGTTTTCAAGTGGTTTTTTATTAAAAATATTGGCTCCAATGAACTATAACTTCGTTAAACTATACACTCCAAAAAATTCTAATCTGGAGTGCCTCAAGGTTCTGTGTTGGTCCAATATAGTTCAATATTTATCTTAACGATCCATATTATTTAAAATCTGAAGGTTAAAAACGCATTCTTTTGCTAATGATACAGTAATTACATATACTGCTGAAATTTGTGTTGATTTGAATATAAAGTAGGCACAGATTTTAATATTATCATTGTTTGGTTTGATACAAATTTTTTGACAATGAATTTTCAGAAAACAAAATATATTCTCTTATTGAAATTCTTTGCTAAATTTAGAACCACTCGATATTTCAATCAATATAAAAATAAAATTGATTGACTGTCAAATATTTGGGAATAGTGATTAATAAACATTCAAAATAAAATGACCATGCCAATTATGTCAGCCACAACTTTTTTATGGAATATTAGAATGGGGTAGGGCATCAAAATGTGAGCACTAGTTAGCATTTTGAAAATATTGAATTATTTTTACATTTATGTAAATTTTTTAGAATAATCATGGAACTTAGGAAAGTTCCATGATTATTCATTATCTACAAAAATTGAAAGCCAAAAATATTTTTCAATTTTGTGCCCTTACTTTTCTTTTATCTTTTTTTAATATAATTTGCTTTTACTCATTTACTCTAGTTTTCATCACCTGAAAATATCTTAGGTTCTGCTTTCCAAAACAATTCGAAACAGCTAAAAACATTGGAAAATTATATCATAAAATTTATTAATCAATTATCAAATCTGATGACTTGCACTAAATTTTTGTAAACATCTTTGATCTGTTCAAAACAGGAATTGTAATCATATTTTCTTTCATTTATTGTTCTAAATAAATGATGGCAGAAACAGTTCAATCCGATTTTCAAACATGTCCAAATTGATTACAATCGAACAAGTTTATTTCTTTGGATTATGAAGAGCTGATTTGAAATAATTTTCAATTAAATTTTTGAGTTTATATTGTCCTGAAATTCCAACTCAATGTATTAATAAAAATAAAGAAATGAAAAAGAAAATGAAAATAAAAAGTTGCAATAATGAAGTAAAAAAACGCTCCACTCTAGTGGGCATGACTTGAATTACATAGTTGAAGTTTACCTTCTATTTAGTCCTCGTAACTCCTCTTTACTCCACTAATACAGTTTTCGTTAGCTTTGAGAATTGCCAAAATTGTTTTTGTAACAGAAAAAATATTACTTGGGTACAGGGCTTTTCATTAGACAAAAGGTATATTCTTCAAAAATCAAAAACGTGTTAATAATTTTTTTGCATCTTAATGATCCTAAAAATTTCTTTCGTCTTAAAATAATTTGTATTTTTATTATTAAAGAAGTTACCAATTGTGCGGACCTAATAAGATCAGTCTGCATAAATACAAGGGATAAATCTTCCCTTAGGATATCGGCATCTATGAGATCAACAGAAGACTCAGTCGTAGAATATCAAAAAAAACACGACCTCTTAAGGTGGTCATTTGCAAAGCCAATCTTCGACATCGACCGCCGAATGAGATTCGGCGAAAGGTCTCATCAGTGGTGCAAGACTGAACCTCTAATCTAATGCATTGCTGGACTAAACTGTCCTTGATGCCATATGTCATTGATGCCATATATGGGATTGACAGAAGACATCTAATGAATATCAAAGAGAAATGAGGTTCTTAAGACACTCAATTATAAAACCAAACTGATGAACGAGATTCGTCCTCTGTCTTCCACTGCTATGGAATAGGTTATACCACGAATTCATTGCTGGATTCAACTGAGAGAAAGGGCAAAATGTCTTCTTTTTTACCCGGGTTTGGCCTTTAAGGACAGTTGAGTCCAGAAATGCAATCGTAGTTTAGCATAGCACCACTGATGAGATTTATGACGGGTTTTAACAGCGCTGTCTGATGTATCACGAATACTTTGAAATTTTTGGGATCAGTTCTTTTTTGAGGGCTCAGATTTCAACCAGCCTGTATAAGTAGGTTACACCATTTCTTTTCAGGAATGAATCACACGACACCTGTCCAATTTGCAGAGAAAAACTAGAAAGTACCGATGACACATGGGTCATTTCAGAGGTACCGAAAGCAGAGGAAATAAATAAGGAAATTAGAAATAATCTTATGGAACTAACGCATGATAGATCATCTCCCTGTAGCCCTTCTTAAATTATGTTTCTACTGTATTGCTTGTTGATTGGTGATAACGATTCAACCTAGAGATGTAAAACTTAAAACTCCAAATTGATTGGCTGTTTTGTAAGATTGTGATGAATGATACTTGCCAAACTAATGTATTGACATTTTTAAGACAAAAATATATGCAGGGTGTTTCCAAGGTGATATTTTTATTTGCTTATTATCTATAGTTTATTCAAATATTGATACAAAAATTTTGAATAGGATCTTGATTGCTTCAAATTTTAAGATAAGAGGAGAATCACGATTTCTGAAGAAAATAATTATTTAAGCATTAGTGAAATATTATATCAATAATTCATTAGTTCGGAATAACTGAAATACTCCTTTACAACTTACTACTGTGCATTTTCAGAAAATGTAATGGAAAAACTTTGGTATCTTCAGAAAAAATATAATTCAGTTCAGGAATCGGATTTGGAAACACCCTATATATAACTGAGAGAGGGTGTTAAGATAAGACAGGCATCTAAAGGCCCTTACATGAACACATTTGATTATTATCTTGTTATATAGTTTTATAAGTGTATATACAACCTTATATTCAATTACTGATATCAGAGAGAAGTTATTTTCTTCAACTGAAAGGTAATTGAAGGAGTGAAGGATTATTGGAATAATAAAATCTCTAATGGAGTCTTCAAATTTAGATTGAAATAAAGTTGACTACTGGAATGATGGTTCTTGCCCAAGTTGTTTTTTGTTTTTCATTTTATCACAATGTATTTATAAATATTGCCTCAAGTGTGACAGCAGTGCAAAATATTTTAATATTTTAATTTTCCTGGTCCCATAAGGTGCAAAAAAGTAAAAAAATTAGTTACTTTTATGAAAAGCCTGACAAATCGCACAGTTGGTGATAACCATATAGTTTTATCATTCAAAGAACACTTTCATAATTTTCAATAAAAAATTATTTGTGATTTGTGACACTTTGTATATATTCATTATTTGTTATCTTTATTTATATTGTATTATCCTTGAAATTTTACTTATTTAAAAATCTGTCGTGTTATATTACGAAATAAATTTTCAATAATTTCATTTTTTCATTTTAATATTTCCCTCGATGCATAAAAACGATGAAAAAGTTGGGAAGCTGGGGAGAGCTCATAGAGTTTTACACGACTGAATGTACTAAATCTGTTAACCTGATTAAATATAAAAAATTAAGGTCAGGCCCCTTGCCTGAGTGCATGAATTCATTAACCACATAGAAACTTTCTAAAGACTTGATGTTGAATATGTTATACTAATTAAGTGTATTATAATTGAGTAGAAAGTTATACAGATTCTTGAAGTTTTTTTTTTGTTATTAATAGACTTGAGAGTATGTGGTTCTCATATGTTGAACTCCATATAGTATTCTATAGATGTATAGATAGATGTAAAGAGTACCCCCTTTTTTTTCAATATATTCAATATGAATATCTCACATGTTTTTCTAAGACATTAGCTTTTTCAAGCGATTGAATCACTAATGTCTTAGCGAAACATGTTGTGAGATATTTCTCAAATAAAGTTTGTGGAGATCAAATCGTGACGTGTAGCTTTTGAAATTACTATGGATCTTCATCAAGTAACGGCCGAATCAATCAGAAAAAAAAATTCAATATGTTTATGCTAAAATAGTTTTTCATATAAGAAGAGCAAAATATTTAATTTCACTGCTGTATTACAAGGAACCATTTTCAAATTATATTTCGTTGTACCGCCATCATTATTATTACTACATTTGTTACCTAGTTCTAGTTCTAAACTCCAAACATCACCAGAATATGGCAAATGAGACTTTGCCGAAACCTTGTGGAAATAATCCTTGTGAGGATCAAAAACATAGAACACGGAGCAAAACCTGGAAAAACAGCTCATCATACTTTGTCCGTGCAAGGTTAGGCAACACTTGCACAGAGTCATGTACAGAAGCGGTTTGCATATTTTCTGAGTGCTTCGTCAATTAATTTTTCCCTGATTTTGATTACATCAAATCTACCCTCTAAATTATCTGTATTGTATACTGGACCCGAATGTCATGCAGGTAGCTAAAGCTGCTTCGTGGTGACTTTGGTGATATCTCTAACCCAAAGTAGCCTGACCGAAACCACAAAGTGCAATTGGCTTGTTGATGATTCAATGCATTTGTGTTGTTTCTGCTACCAAGTGTTGCCTAACCTTGCACTTGGCTATACCGTACGGATGACAGCTAATGTGCCAGAAACATATGTATGCGGCTCATTAATGTTCTGGGGAAATGTATTGAGATGAATGCATTTGTATTGTTTCTGCAATCAAGTGTTGCCTCTGTGCACATGACAGCTAATTCGTCAGAAACAGGTATATGCGGTTCGTTAATTTTCTGATTTCGATAATTTTTTTTCTGAGGAAATCTATTGGGATGAATGTGTATTGAATAAGTTGCTCCAGTAAAAAAATATACTAAATGTACAAAAATAGTTTAATAAAAGTTATTTTTTATCAACAGTAACATTACTTAGAAAACTCAACTTATACTACAAGAAAATACTTTCATTATATCTAAATCAATAAATTCAAATAATAGAGTGGACATAAAAAAACACAACTTCATTTCAGTTCATAAGTTGGAACACAGGGAAGAAAATCCCTGAAAAAGTTAACTTGCAAAGATTCCTTGTAAACTACCAAAATTGAAACACCTCATTTAAAAATATAACATCAAATTGCCCATTTTCTGTGGTACAAAATGATTCAATATTTTGCATGTTTCATTAAAGTAAGGAAAGCAAAGAACTGCTCCCATGTCGTCATTAGTAAAAATCCAGTCAACATTTTTAAGTCCTTTACAACTTTGCACAGAATTTTAGTACATACCTAAACTAAAAACACCAAAACGTTAGCTTTATCAGGAATTTACATGTTTGTGAGCTTCAGTAACGGAGGTAACAACTTGAAATAAATATAAAACCTAGAAAATAAACACAAGAAAATGTTACAAAATCCAACAGAACACTCGAAGACGAAAACTTAAATAATCAACACCATTTGTAAAGATCAATGAGACGAAAATATAAGGAAAAGTCAGTTCAGTCTCCGTTTGCGTAGTTACTAGTTTTAATATGACAATAAAATGTTACAAAAAAAAGAAACATATAAAACTGATGCTTGGAATGCCAGATGCTGAGAAGAGTTTATAAAAAATCTGTTTGATGTGGTTAATGCAATATTCTTGAATGGATTTAACAGTATTTCAAGAAGTTATTTTCTTCCTTTCAAAAATTGGTCTTGCAATTGATGTATTTTTAATTTGTTAGGCCAGTTTGATATTCAAAATTTTTTAAAACTCCTAAAAGAGTTTCAGCTATTTCAACATATTGTGAAACATTTACTTGGATCATAATCTGGAAGTCGATAGATGGGCTTCAAAATCCAATTCCAGTAGATAACTAACGTCATTCGATACTAACTAATGGTAGCTAGAAATATTTTCTGGACCTATTTTCGAGCAGTTTGTAATATTCTAATCACCGAGATATTTCTGAAAAGCTATCAATAACTTAATGGGAGCAATTGCTATCATATACTTATTCTTAAGTGAGATGGACTGGAAGCCTGATGAGCTGAACTCCTATAAATAGTCACCTCATTATGTTGTGGAATTGTTTTTACAAAATTCGAAAATTTTACAAATTGTTCCATAAACATTTTTAGACATGAAAAACCTGAATGGATAAACTAATTGACAGAATGTTCCACTCCCATCACAGATGGTACTAAGCTTACACCCATCTAGTGCTCGACACTTCAATGCTGTTTACCTTTAGAAATATATCTTTATATAAAGCATTAGAGAAAATACACCAACATTTGAAGTGAAAGTGCATATGTAAAAATGTGAAGATTTTAAAACAAAATTTGATTTGATGACAGTTGAGCTCCTACACTATCTATTAACATTCGTAAAAAGTTGTTTCTGTCTGATTCATTGCGTCCAGAGCTTTTTCAAAACAAAATCAAATTAGAGGAAACGCCAGGATTTGTATCCATGATGTCAAAAAAAACTGCAAGAAAAAATAATTTCCGTCAACTGTCATGCAAAAATCTCAAAGAAGTCTTTTTTATAAAACAATTGCCGAGTTTTATTGGTGCAAAACATCCCCTAGCATTATCTTCTCAATAGCTGAACATTTCAACAGTGCTCACTGCTTTGCTATGAAAAAAATTTATGAGAATTAAATCAATTGACAAGTTACAAGTTTTCATTTTAAAAAACTCTTATATAGCACCACAAAATAGTTGAATCCATTCTAGAATACAAGGCTTAACCCACAGAATAAACTCAACACTCACACACTAAAATTAGTCATGTTCTCCGTCATAGTTCCACTATATTTTCGGCAGTATTCGCTTTTCCTATATTTTATTCGCATTTTGTACCCGCTTTTTTATAAGTAGAACAGCGTGTCAGACAGAACAGCACTGGGCGCCTTTTTAATATGTTGCCCCACCAAAGCGGCCAACTTATGAGCATACTGACATGGAGCTGGCACCCTTATGGTACCCGGCCAATTGTAGTAGAGATGGCACAGTTTGTAACATAGCCTTTGACTGTGATCGGGTTTGAGATTGCAGGTATCGTACAAAACAATGTAGTGTGTTGGGTTGACGGTGCCCTGCCGCACGTTCTGAGGTACCAAAAAGAAGTCATGCAAGTACCTCCTAGTGACGGTGTGGTCCAAAACAGTGCCAGGAGGTGGATTCTCGCAACCGTCTCGACCAAAGTTGAAGATGCGGGTGTTGATCCGTTTTTGAACGATGATGAAACATAACTTGGTCTCAAGTTGGAATTGCTTAAGAACACTCTCTAGTTGTTCAATTTCGTATCGTTTGCAGTGGGCAAGTTGACCATCTCCTACCCCATCTCTTATAATGACGATCTTGGAGGGGAAAAAACCGTTTGCGTTGCGATATTTTTCAAGGTACTTGGTAAAAGCTATTTTGTAGAAGTCGCTCAACTCCCGTTCTTGGAATATAGCGGTACTGTACCATCTGAAAAAATTATTCATTGCAATTACTTGAGAGTGAAACATTGTAAATCTCAATGAACAGATATGAAAATAATCAAAAAACTTTGTGTATGTATGAAGTATGTTGAAAAAATAAGGTGAATGTTCAAATTTTGCAGGCTACGTACATTCGATTAGCGATTTTTTATATGTTGGTACATTTGTCTCCAACATATGTCCACAGTTTCAGCCATTTAGTATGTTTAGTTTGTTGGTTAGAGGCGTTAGAAGTTTTCTGCGTGTTTGTCGATTTTCTGTTACCGATAAAAGAATTTGCATCAAATATAGTGTAAAAATGGAATTGAGTACTCAAAAAACACTTGAAATGTTGACAGTGGCATACGGTGATTGTACTCTGAGTGAGAAAAATTTTTGCAAGTGGTACAAGCTTTTCATAGAAGGTTAAGAAGATGTGAACAACTACGCTTGCCTTGGATGCCCCAGCACATCAACAATAGATGAAAATGTTGAGAAAGTGAAAAAAATTGTTATGGAGAATGGTCGAATCACTATTAGAGAAGTTTCTGAAGATGTAGACATATTGTTTGGCTAATGCCATGCAACTTTTCATAAATTTTGGGCATGAAGCATGTGGCAGAATTGCTGAATTTTAATTTAAAAAAAACGCCGCATGACCATTGCTCCTGAATTGTTCAATTATGTCAACAGCAATCCAGTTTGTTCAAAGGGGTCATAACTGGGGAAGAATCATGGGAATATGGTCATGACACTGAAACCAAAGTCCAATTGTCCCAATAGAAGAATGAATTTGGGAAGCCAAATACACTTATTTGTAATGAATGAATCGAAGAATTTTGTATAGAAGTGTATAATTGTAAAATCTTATTGCAAAGCGTTTTTGACTTTCGTCATCGTCAGTGCTCACCTGGAAGTAAAAACTCTAATTGAAAAAAAAGTTTAATTTGAATTTTGAGGTTATGAATTCAGGAAAATTGTTGATGAGTACTTACTCATAAGGCAACAGAAAGTATCGAAATATGAGAACATAGCACATTTGTAAAATTTGATTTGTATAATAGTTATTAGCCTAATAACCAATGAAATACATGTTGGAGTTTAAGGCCATGTGGCTCGGTGATGATGTGAACTGAATGAAGGCCAACTTGTGACTGAATGTGTCAAGTCAAGTGTCGTGTTGAAAATAATGGTACCAACTTGAGGAGAGCCAAGATAAAAAAAGCATGCCAAGTTTCATCAAATGTCAAGGTTTTGCTCACTGTTTTCTTCGATTACCTTGGCTGGCGCAGTACTATAGAGATTTTTACCGAGTCATATACTTCATTATTTCAGGATTCCTCTCTTGCATAAAAAAAATGTGTGACACATTTTGAATTAAAAATTTTATGTTGCCTTGTTGTGTTGTAATAAATGAGTTGGTGATTGCCTTATAAACTTAAAATGAATCCATTTTTAATAAAGTTATTCATTGAAAATTATACCCATACCCCTCAATTTTGGGGTACGCAGTGCTGTAGTTTATTAACAACCATTCATAATTCAATAATAATAATTTTGAAACCTTACCTAGATATGCTCTCGTTCAAACTTCCAACAAAACCACAAACTGAGTTGCCTGGTGAACCGTGATATACATCAATGCCACAAATCGCCCATCCTTTGAAAGGAAACCGGACGGTCCAAAGTGTGCCGCCGAGCTTACAGGTCATCTGTAGGGCAATCTTTTGAATTATAGATCGAACTTTTTGAGGGTTTGAAAGCGTCTTGGAATTGATCACTTGTGACGCCACCGGTATTTGAGTGCAGCAAATTTTTTTGATGACAGCATATCGGTCCGATCTCATGGTGGGGCAGATGAAAACCACAATCTAAAATTTTTTATATGTTTGAATTGAATCACAGTATTCCAGAGAATGAGAACTATTTGACAGCATACATTTTGATCAAATTGTAAAAGAAAAAATGTAAGGGATATCTTAATAATGATTTGTCACTTCATTATATTTCTCAAGGTTTTTATGTTTCAAGTTGGTAACCGGGTTGAATGCACAGTTACATCTAATCCATGAAAATAATAAAAATTGTTTTGTGTCAAGTGTAGTTTCAATTTTTACCATGGAAGTTAAAAACAATGTGACAGGCAAAAACCATCGAAAGTTTACTAGAACAATTGTAACAAAATGAAAATAGATAACAAGAATGTAATTGACAAATTGGCTTGTGGGAAAAAATAGATCATTTTTCATTATTTACATATACTATCAAACAAAAAGATAATTTGAACGAATTACATGACAAAGTAAAAATAATGAATTTTCAAATACAATGACTGGGGAAATCAAGGACATCAACAAGAACTCTGTGCATTCACAACACCGGCATCCAAAAGAACATTTGTTATCAGTTGATAGTCAACCTGAAATAGAAACAAACCCAAATAAAATGAAAACAATACAAAATGCAATTTTCAAGTGTTACTTGGCATAATAAAAACGTATTTGGATATTAAAACTAGTTAGAAAAAGTACTCACCTGTATATTTTCATCAATGTTTTCTTGGCATGCTCTAATATAGGTGTCAGTTCGATCATCTTGCAGTTTCACTGGTTTCGGAGCATTTATACGACAGCCCATAACACTGCCCAGCCTAACAATAGTCTGTGAAAAATCTTTGGCATATTTTTCGTCTCTCCCCGTGTAAAAAAGAATCCAAGTGTGCATATCAACAGGTAAAGCCACCTGGTGGAAAAAAATACAAAGTTCAATGAAAATGCTTAGTGATAATAACTAAAAGTCAGAGTCATTTTGAAGAATTATATGAATGTACTCAAGTATCAAAGAAGGCATTTATCTGACATTTTATCTCGACAAATGGCTTAAGATTTATTTTCATAATAATAATAATAATAATAATTGAAAATTTAGAGCATGAATGGTATGACGATACTGTGATTCCGACATGTAGCATATTTTTGGAAATAACTGATTGATCCTTTTTTGTTTTAATGCTNAGAAGTTCACATTAAAATCTCCCGCAAGAAGTATTCGGTTTTTAAGATTTGACTTATAAGATTCAGCAATGTCAAGAGCATTTACCATAATTCGTAGAAATTCATCAACATTTTGGCAGAATGTTGATCTATAAATTGCAATTACTATTAATTCTAATTGTTTTATATAACAAGCTGCTAGTTCACTTACTCTTTCTTTTGACAGCTCAGTAATTTTATGTAGATCAACACAATCAAATGTTTCATGAACAAATATGCATGCACCCCCATTTTTGAAAGAAGATCTGCAGAAACAACTTACCATTTCAAAACCAGTTATATTATAATAAGATTTCTCATAATTATTTAACCAATGCTCAGTGATACAAACTATTTTCAAGTTGTCATTTTGACTAACAAACCTATCAATTTCTAGTATTTTATTTCTAATACATTGTGTATTGAGGTGGAAAATTGAGATACATTTGTGTGATTGTAATAACCCCATTCAATTAAATATATTCATGAGGTTTGATACATTGAATTGACAACATGCTTTAAAAAAAAAACTAAAATAAATTGATTTAAATGATCATCTCGGTAAAAAATTTCTAAAATGTTTAAATTCAACTTTTCCTAAAGCTTTGTTATATCAATCTGCACAATTATTATCTGAACTTAGGTAGTCAAAGGAAACTGTTTTTCCTAATGAAGATTTTTGACAGAAAGATATTTTATTTCTCTCTTTTTGATGTTTCATAACTTTGAATTATTTATATTGCACTCAAATTGTCAATTTTCAAAATAACACTTCAAACATTGTCAAAATGAGAGACATCTTTCAGGTTCATGATTTCTTAAGTATCTGCTTCTGCTGACATGTATTGTCACATTTTCAGTTTTACAAGAGAATTTTCTTATGGGCCTTGTAATATAATCTTTACGAATGTTGTATTAACATTTGATACAGACATTTGCAATATAATTATTTGTAATATTTCAACTGGGCTCACCTGTTGCTCTCCAACTGCTCTGTTCCAATCAGCGTTATTGTTCGTTTGAATACATTGGTTCCTGCCAAAATATATCGTTTCATTTTCTAGTTGTCTTGCCTGAAGAGTCAAAGGGGTGTCTGCTAGTTTCAATCCCCAGTTGCCCAAAATTTGCTGAGCCGCTTCTGACTTTCTAACATTGTCCATATATGTTCGTAATGCAGCTAGTCTCTGGTTAGGAGTTACTCTGGTATACTGGGCAACGTCTTTCATCACCTTAAAAGATTTACTTGTAATCATCATATGTGAAAGAAAGAGAAGTTTTATCATATGTGATATAAATATGAAAGAATCAAATGAAAGGTGTTTGAGAACAGTGTTTTTGAAAGAAAGAATAGATTTTTGGTGTGCAGACATAAATGAAAAAAGAAACTGATTTGAAAAAATATGACTCGACCAGGATTCTAACAAATTCTTCTATTCTCTAGGCACGCTAATGTACCTACTATGCAGTCGGAGTAAACAAACAGAATCACATCCTCAATACAGTCCTTCATGGTCTTAGTGCAAAGAGGATGAAATTTGTTAATTTTGATACATATGTATGCGGCTCATTAATGTTCTGGGGAAATGTATTGAGATGAATGCATTTGTATTGNATCTATTTCACCTCCTGAAGCCACCAATTTGGTCTATGAAATGCTTGTCGAGAAGATTGTTGCAGTTCTGGTAATTCAGACCTCAAAATATTCAAATCGTAAAGCAGTGGTTGAGCACTCTTGAAAACTAAGAATCGACAGTTTTAGAAACTAAGTCAATGGCATTCAAAAACAAAAGTTGATCACCCTCACTGATTGAAGAAGAAATATCAACTCCTCAAAAGCTGGCATACAAAATTTTGAGGAAACATATCCAGAAAAACATCTATATTATAAACCAATTTATGAAACATTATTCAAACTGCTTCAAACTGAGTAATTAACAAAAACTTTATTTTAAAGGCAATAAAAAGTGTTCATGACGACTTCTCAAGCGGAGTTTCATCCCAATGACTGAAAACTCAAACATGTTTACTCAAGTTGAACGAGTATCCCAGACAACGGTTTGTTACAAAACTAAGCTTTAACAGGTCAATAAGTTTGTGAAAGTAGACCTGCTGAAACAAAAACCATGTTGTTGAGAAATTATGGTATTTAAATGTGTTTGATTAAATACAACTAACTACATAATTTAATGTTAAGTTGCATTGTCTTAAACCAGCAGATGATCAAGATGCTTCCAACTGTACCTCATTTGTCAAACTATAAGTAGTTTAGAAGTTATGAGGGATAAGATGAACATACATACAAATTGGTCAAAATCATAACCTCCCTTTTGCTTTGTCGTAAATCAGGTGAAAGTCAACCACTTGTGTATATAGTAAATTTATCATTTCTAAGAGGAAATCTTTGCCAATCTATTGAAATCTTTAATAGGAATGGAAAAGTCAATATTGGTCCAATTTTATTTTTTTCAACAATTTGAATATTGCTTCTTACATACATTTTTTAAAGTCCTTTCAACAAAACGCCTGTATGGCACATCAATATTACCTCAAATTTATTTGACAAGAGCAACGCTGTCACAAAATTGATGCGATACAGGGGAGGTCCACTTGGAAAATGGAAAAATTGAGAAGTTGAAGAATAACAATTTCTTAGGGTTATACATTGATGAGAGACTAAAATTGATAGCCATGTTGACCATTTATGTAAACGACTAACAGTAGGATGCTATGTTGCAAAGGACTTAGATACCGCTATCACAAGATCTGTTTATTTTGCTCAAATTGAGGCCTATTTTCGTTATGGAATTTGCTCCTGAGGAAATTGTGCACAATTTCTTTTCCAGTACGGTATTATCCCTACAAAAAAGGGTATTCAGATATTTATGCAAGGCCAATTATAGGGATTCATGCTGCCCCTAATTTGTGGAACAGTAGTTTCTAGCCTTGGCAGGTTTTATTTTGGAAATGGTGTACCTTATCCACAAAAATTATATAAATCAAATTAATACCACTTCGACATATTGTACCCACCAATCATACCATTTTTACCTACACCAGCACTTACACAAAAATCGATTATACTCAAGATTAGGAAGCTATTAATTATCTTCCCATTAACTTAAGACGAATACAGAATGAAAAAAGATTCAGAAATAAGGTAAAAGATTTTCTTGTTGTGCAAGAATTTAGTTATCATTAAAAATAGCCTAGCTGAATTCTATGATAATTTTAACTAATAAATTGGTTGAGGCTTTTGCGGCCAACATTTTCAGTGCTACTATTTTTATTTGAGTTTGAATATCGTCCTAGTTAGGAACTGCATCTTAATGTTTCGCCAGCATGAGTTCTGGCTGGCTTCTTCAGAGGATTATTCATCTTGATGATTCACCGATGACTGGTGATTTCTATTTCGTAGGTTGTATTGATGTTGACTCAGCTAGTTCGCCTCTCTTGTTGATGTGTTGATATTGGCCAAAGTGTTATTACTTGTTTATGACATATCTATTCTCGCCGTACCTGTTAGCGGGTTGTTTTTGGTAACGGTATTAATACTTGACTGCTAGAAGCTTTTGTAATCTCGGCAGCCCATCATGATCTTTTAATGAATACATTTATAAAGTATAGAGTAAATTGTGCCCCACTGAATCGACTCAAATAATTTTTGAATTCGCATATACAATATATCATTATTAAATGCCAAAGTGATAATTTGTTTGACAAATATCAAATTCAAAATTGTGCCTAGGCCAATCATTAGGTATCATCAGCCCATTTCATGTTATATGCTGAAGACATTGCTGTTAAAACAAGTGTTCAACTGAAAAATTCCTCTAGTCAGTTTGACTAACATAATATAACTTTTTTCTCAAATAACTTCATAGGAGAACGGATATTTTTTGTAGGAAACAGAGTACTGTCACACTAACTCTAAATTAGATATTCCACATAAAAAAGTCTGTTAAGTCAAGGGAGAAAAATAACTTTCAGTAACCTTGTACTTCAAAACCTTGCTTTAGAATCTCTACAAATAAATTTATAGCTATGAAAGCTCCATGATTATTCACCTTCTCGGAACTGCCAGACACCTTAACATCCCTTCTGTTGATCAAAAGAGGTTGTGTTTCATCTCTTATGACAATATTGTGCTGCGTCTTATAGTATTCAATGAAGGTAATATTCCTACCATCTCTCGTTGGAAAGGTATCACGAGGAGTCATGTCCCAGGCTACATCGTCTATTATGTAAGTTTTATTATTATACCTTGAAAAAAAAAATAGAAAATATTACCAACTATATTACTGAATGGTTATAATATATTTGAACCATTGGGACCTTTCACAATTCATTTCACTCTTACAACTTACAATTACCATTGATATGACAAACTTATTAGTAGAAAGTAGTAATTTTTTCAAATGCGAAATCTAATATACAAAACATACATAAGATAATTTCAATATGTAAAAACTATTTTGAATAAATATCAATGTAAGATAATCATTTTATAAAAAATATTCAGAACTTTACGCTGTTCCAGTCATTACAATATATATAAATAATGAAAAATAATAAATGAAATGAGCTGTTTCGTGAGGATTTTTTTTCTTCCAGTTTGTGACTGAAAGTTACTTCTTTGCATGATCTACACATCTTTGTATGGAGTTAGTTTTTTTAAATTGTTTGCTTCCTTCCTTTCTCAAAATCTACCAAATGATTTTCAATTTGTAGTACATACGTTTCTGTGTTTCCAATTTTATAATTGGCACTCACTGCAATACTCTTCAACATACGTTTCAGACAAGAGGAAAAAATGAAGCGTCAGGGATATATAATATAAGCTGCGAGAACAGTGACAAGTGTATTGGTCAGACTAAACAATCCATTAAAACTCGTTTCAAGGAACACGCATTTGATTTTGGAGACCAGAGAACGGCTATAGAAATAAATGAAAACTATCTGAAATTGTTGAGATCGGTACTTGACACTAGATTTTTTGATGCTTACGAAAGTCTGGAAGTAGCAAAGTGTGGCAGGCAAACTAAGAACAAGAACAAATGTCTCATTCCAAACAGCCCATTGTATAACTTTTTTAAAATCACTCTGTTAAANAGCTAGAACTCGCTTGCATGGTTTTTGGAATATTTGAAAAAGGATGAATTCATGAAAGATATCAATACTAGTATTTCTAGTATGAAGAGTGCTTTAATCAAATCGTTTGCAGAAGTCATCAAGGAGTTGTGGTCAGAAGATTCATTTGATAAAGTAGTAAATACAGCCATCTTGAAAAATCAGATTCAAAGTTTTGCTCCTCGATTCATGGGTAATTCTCATCAAAACGCCCAGGAGTTTCTTCGTTATCTTTTAGAAGGATTACATAAAGAGGTTAATATAATTAATGAGAAACCTAAACCAATCTTAACGGAGATTGACGAAAAATTGAGCGACAGCGAAAATGCACAAGAGTCACGGCTCACATATTTGATGCATAACTCTAAGATTGTAGATAATTTCGTTGGCCAATTGAAATCCACGATGAAATGCACACACTGTGGATACTCTTCAGTAACATTTGATCCTTTCTGGGATTTGTCTCTCTCCATACCACAAAGAACCGACCAATTGAGTTTGTGGCAATGCTTGGATTCTTTTACAAGAAAAGAAACTTTGGATTGAAATGAAAAACCAAAGTGTTCGAAATGCAACGAAAGGAGGAAATGCACAAAGTCCTTATCAATCCACAAGTTTCCCTATATTTTAGTAATACATTTAAAAAGATCCTCTCCAACGGAAAGTAGAGGCAAATTGAATGATGTCATCGAATTTCCTCTAGAAGGATTGGATATGGACAATTTTGCAGCAGAAAATGTGGCTACTTGTTATAATCTATATGCACTTTTAAATCACAGTGGGACTACTAACAGAGGACATAATACAGCATACTGCAGACACCCGTATACTGAGGCATGGCATAAACACAACAATTCACATGTGTCACCAAAGTCACTCATGAGTGGAGAAGCATACGTCCTCTTTTATGTAAAGGATGGAACAAAATCGCACCTTTAAGATAACCGAGGGAAAGTTTCTTTGTGCAATTATTATTTATTTTTTGTTAATTTCAAATAAGTATTTTATTGATTTGATTCAATTATAAGTTGCATATTAGTCTACAAATTATCTTACTGTTTCAAAGACAAAAACCCTATTTACCATCAGAATCACTTAACCAACTAAATCTTGCAGTTCTCTGTATTGTAATCTCAATCTTCATTCTCCCACACTTTCAGTGGCCTCCATATCTCACTAATATAACTTTTACCAAGATATGTTATAAATGCAATTTTTGTTTTTTTTGTGTTGTTGTTGAACTGCATATATGTGAATAAAGATCAACGATTAATTTATTTTGTATGAAGTTCTGAATTCAACTGTCTTCTTCCTTGCAATAAGACATTAACGTCATATCGTATGATCCAGGACTATCTAAATGGATGAATCGAAACAGCAAGAAAATATACCAAGATCTACTTATTCATGTTGTCCTGAGACAACAGGGCCATTAGAAGTATGCAAAAATTAATATCAAAGTTTAAATCAGAAATAGACAATCAGTAGAATCGTAATTGTCAGAATAGCTTTTCAAATTTCATGGTGATAATCGAGAGGAATAAAATCATACTAGAATGATCGTAATTAACCACTTTTTGAGAGCTGTGAGCTCAAATAATCAGCGAACAGTTCTTACATAAGGTGGTAAATGTAGAAAGGTATGGAAAGAGGAACGCTTCATTGACAATGGGGTTCCACAAGGTTCCGTTTTGGGACCGGTGTTGTTTCTCATTTATGTCAATGACTTGGTCCATGTTAACATAAGTGGTAAATTCACATGTTTCGCTGACAACACCACTATCCTCTGGCATAGCAATACATCCTCCAATTTACTTGATCAAATCATCGTCAACATAAGAACGGTTAAAGAGTGGTGTGATTCCAATCTCTTATCATTGAACATCGATAAAACAAAGGTGATCACGTTTAGATGTAACATAGGGGAAGTACACTTGGAAAATGTAAAAATTGAAAATTTGGAGAAAAACAAATTTTTAGGGCTCTTCATTGATGAAAATCTAAAATTTGATTTCCATGTCAACTACTTATGTAAAAGACTAGCAGCAGGATGTCATGCATTTTGATTTGATTTGAAAGTGTTAGAATGATAAATACTGCACTACAACTTTAGCAATGTTCATATTTCAAATCTGCTTTCACATTGTGAGTTACGAGTATAGATTCTGATAAAGAAAGCAGATTTTGGTCTGCACTGTTCATATTTCAAATCTGCTTTCACATTGTAATTTACGAGTATAGATTCTGATAAAGAAAGAAGATTTTGGTCTCTGAAATAGAAGATAAACTCTTATATACTCTCTGTTTTTGATAGGCAAATGAATTCTATGCGACTAATCAGTGATAAAACATTTATATTTGAGAAAAATATTTTGAATTTATGCAGTAACTAGAAGTTTGTCTTTTCTACTTCTGTATGAAGTTATTTATTTTCAAATAGTTAAATTTGAAAATGTCAAAAGAAAGGTAATTAAGAAACACAGTCAATAACATAGAAATGTTAGTGATAGTTTATGTTCCATTGGCTAGATTCCAGTAATCACATCATTCTTCAATGAAAATTTGATGAAGAAAACTGTATGATTCAACAAGGTACCTGGAAAGAATGTAAAAGATCCCAAAGATTGCATAATCAACATATTTTCAACATACTTTGTGAAAATGCAAGAACCAATCAAGTTTGAGTTGGCGACTTCTTTGAATCTATTAGAATCCGAAATTCGAAGTTCAGTAAGTAGTTCGTACGCATTCTGCGTACGCATTACTCGATGCTGGGTATCAAGACAAAGCATCAGACCATCCTCCAACTCATCCACAGACACTGCAAATCCAGGGTACACCTAATAAATGAAATAAATACATTTATATATAATATATTGTTATAAATAATCATATGTTGAACTAACCTCTAACTTATGCTGCGGTATCAAGTGTTTGTGTTCCGTATTGAAATAATTCCTTCCCATCTGAGTATACATCAAAGAGTACATGATGCGTTTGAACAAAACGTTATATAAGTGCAGGCACTCCCTATCTGCTAGATTTTTTTTCCTCTTATATATAATCGTAAGACCTATTTCGAGATCCCCGTCTGGACCAGGAATGGAAGTGGTGAAGGATTGGACTGTGTCGGTTATTTTCTGAGGTAAGTACAAAACACTTCCTCCATCAAAAACTTTGGCTGGACCTAATTTTTGCTTGATCTGGTTCACCGCTCTTATTCGTCGGTTTTTAGCGTCTATGTCCGGATTGAACCGAACCTCATATTCATAAACTCCACAGTCTTTCTCCAAATGGAGTTTAATGTAGTTAGCCGATACCTTTATTTGTTTGCCTCCTTCGCCTTAAATGAAAATATCAATTATGGATAAGTATCAATTTTAGTGTTTACAAAAACATGAAAATTGACAAAATACAAAGAAAAAGTATACTGCCATTTGGGACAAAACTTGCTGAAATGTATTCACTAAATGAAAGTTCTTATGTGCCCTAGATTTTGATTTATGAATATCCAGGGGTCCCAAAATGGTTGTTTGCAATGTTTTCAAGTATATAAGCGCTTGGTAATGCAGTATAATGATTTCAGGAATATAGATCATCACAATACTTCATTTATTTATTTATTATTAGTTCATTTATAAGGGATAAACCCCATTAAAATGTGAAAATTACACAGAAAATCATCAATAACAATCTAAAAATGTAAAATATAAAATAGGAGGCTATGTTATATTCCTGCAGTACACAACTATATAAAGCATATAAGATACTTTAGGATATAAAATTAACACTTGGTACTACATTATATAAAAAATTACCAACAATATATTTGCCATAATTTGTATGATGGAAGGGTATATAAAATAAATGGTTGTATCATAGATCTGCATGAATTCTTTTGGTTTGCAATATTTTCAGCCAGATTTCTTGTAATATAATTGAATAGTCATGGTACTGTATTTGAAGACCCAATTTGAAAGAATCAAATCTCAAAAATGTATTTTGCACTCTTTCTAGAGATACACAGTGTAAAATGGGGACCAAATGATACATGCATATTCTAACTTAGACACCACTAGAGCTAAATAAATACTTTTTAATGCTTCAATGGAAAAACCTGAATAATGATGTGTAAAATAAGACCTAGTGTTTTAGATGATTTCACACTCATTTCGATAATATGGTTTACAAATCTAAGTTGTTCATCAAAAATTACCACCTTATAGATAATGTGTATTCTAAGAGCTGATCATTTATGTTATATGATGTATCAAATTTCCTACCAACTCTTGAGAAGGTAATAAACGGCATTATCAGTCTGAAAAACTTCAAGTCATCAGTAAACATTAAAAATTCACTGTTCTCAAAACAACCTTCTATGGCATTCACAAAAATATTGCATAACAGGGGTGAACAATGTGTCCCTTGTGGCACTTCAGATATTACTAACACATCACTCGATTTGGAAAGTTACTAAAATCAACGTTGTAGAACTATTAACCATTGAAAGTTGAAACTTATCTTTCAAGGACTGACTTCAACTAAATCAATAATCCAGAAATAAAAATTTAATTGATGCCAAATTCCAGTTCAGAAATTGAAAAAATGGACACCATTCTTCATCCAGAACGATGACTACAAGATAAGGACTATTACTGAAGATTTCGAAACAATATGAGTCTTTGAATGTATAGTGAAATATTTGATAATCTCATAACCATTAATATTTATGACACAATTCAATTATTTGAAATGTGTTCAATATATTTCTTGGAAAATAGTGAAATTTTCCATAAATAATTCTCTATACCATTAAATAATCCCAATTCACAATAGATTGAGTTACCATCCAAACCATCCAAGGACAGATACCTTGATGAAATGGCTGAAGGTTTTAAAAATTATTAGAAATGTTACTTTTGCCTTAACGCCTTTTTCAAGTGAGCATCCCTAATGAATGGAAAAAACATTCAGAATTAAAAACCAAAAAGAGTAGTGATATTTCCCACCCAAATGTGTGTCTTTCAATGAATGTTTCCTTGGTTTCAAACATAGAGTGAAAAATAATAAAGATAATGACTTTGCAAATTGTGATTTTGTTATGTTTGAAATAAAGGTGACATGGATATATTGTTATTATACTTATTGTTATTTAGTTCATTTTATCTTACTTTTTCATAATTTCACATTTAATCTATTGAAAACACTTTTCATAATCAGGACAAAATTACTTTCTATCGATGCGTGTTTTGCTGAGCAAGTTAGCATAATCAGCACCTCCATTCTCAGACCATGTTTATTATTTATACTGTGAACCAAAATTACCATCTCGAAGTCAGTTTGACTTGACTGTATCTAAACAAGTGTCATTACTCACCTTTATAAAACACTGGATCTTGTTCAGTAAGGGAGATTTCAGAAGTCGCTCGTGAAAGCTCTTCAACCGATTTAGCCACCGAAGTCTCTTTAGGACTACTGGCTGACACAGGTGCAGTAGCCTTGGTAGCAGTAATGGGTGCTTCTTGTATCAAAGAAGTCGAAGCAACAACACTGGAAGAAGTATCAGCCCCTACTTTTTTAAGTTTGCTTTCTTGTAATTTTTGAAGCAGAGCAGCTCGACCTCTGGGTTTCGGAGGTTCTGCCGGAGGTGATTCTTCTGGTTGAACCCCAACAGCCTTTTCTTGTCCACGCTTTTTCATGAGGGCCAGCATAGCAGCCCCGCGGCCCTTAGGAGGAGGTCGATCCATTTTTGTATTAAATCTAACTGGAATATGTTCAACTAGAATCAAATTCCATATAAGAAGTCGAATATCAACCTAAGTATACCAATTTTTTTTAGTGACTATAGAAGAGAAAAGTAGCAGAGTCGACTTTTTTTCAAAATCACAAAAAACTAATAACACTAGAGACAGAGCATGGACAAGTCAAACTGTCTTGTGTCTGTCATCTGTCTTACTTATACCATACCTACTATTTACTGTCTTGTGGTGCAATTAGTAATAATGGCAAGTATTGCCAACATGAAAATATTTTTCGTACTGTATTATCCCACGAAAATGTAATAGGTTTCTTCTGGTTCTACAAAATGCAGATTCTAGGACATCAGTATTGATGCACAGTTAATATTGCGCGTTGTTTTTTTGAGGATACGATCGGATTGATTTGTCTAAGGGATTGATGAATCCTCTGTTCTGGTTTCGTGTTTCGACTGTGAAATGATCCAAAACTGTCCTGAACCAACTCGAATCGTTCTCGTCTCATCAGGTTTGTTTTGGTTCTGTATTTCGAACTGTTATTGAACCGTCATATTGTAATAAATACCTTTCTGGTATAGACTTATCAAATGCTTTGGTGGAACTAATAACTGTTAGGAGTTTCGTAGATGTAATTAATTTTCTTTGATTCAAAAAAAATCCTATTATTGAAAACACTGTGAACTTCATAGATGCAGATTGATGTCATTGTTAAAATGTTAAAGCTCTGAAGTTTGCAAATGCTACTCGACATGAATCAGTTGATTTTAAATTTGCCAAAATACGAAAAGCTCTTTTTTGTAAGACAAACACTCTAGAAGCGTGTGAAGTCCCCAAATGCATATTGCCATATTTCAAGTTGGAATGAAAGCACCCGAACTATAGGTGCCTGAGTATATCTTCACTACATTGTTGAGAGGATACACGCAATGCATAACATATTCTCGTCAATTTCAACAATAGTATGTCTATATGGTCATTCCATTTCAGATTACTCCCAATAAAAAGACCGAACAGTTTACTGTGTCGTGTACAATTAATTACGGTATTATTTGAAGTGATATGATTTAGAAGTTGACTGTTCGAATGACTAGTTTCAAACATTATTTTATTCTATTGTCAACATTTAGGCATAACCGTTATGTTTGTTAATCCGCTACTTCGGATTGTTTTATGGCATTTGCAATTTTACCTGTGACAAACAGAAGATTAGTATCATTCGCGTAAGTTACCAAATTAGTTACTTGTTCTTTCATGGATTCCAGTAAATAGTTTACATAAATTGAAAACAAGGTGGGTCCCAAAATTGAGCCATGAGGGACGCCAATATCTATGGGCCTCAATTCTGAAACATATGAGGCAAACCACTTAAGTGCAATACCTCTGATACCTAATCTTTCTAATTTATATAGGAGGATGTCATGAGGTACACAATCAAACGCCTTAGAAAAATCTATAAACAGCCCTAGCGCTGTGAGTTTTTTGTCGAGTGCTTTTGAGAATTCATTAATGAACTCGCATAAGGCAGTGTCAGTGCTTCTATTTTTTGACAATCGGACAATCTATTAATAAAATTTAAGAAGTTCAATAATCTGTCGTTGACAATTGCTTCAAAAACCTTTCCAATATTTGAACATAGAGTTATTGATATATTATTATTCATATTTTCTTCATCACCCTGTTTATGTAAAGGAATAACATGCGCAATTTTGAATTTTGAAGACAATATGCCTTGTTGATTCGACATATTTATTAAGTATTGTAACAAATTAATAAATTAACTGTCTTAAACAAATTTATATCCAACAATATTTCTCTAATCACAAACTAATTTATCCACAACACTTAGCAACTAACGCTTAATTTATTTCCACTATTTGAATTTCTTGTTTAGACGCTCGATTCACTTTCTGAACTGCCCTCTTGGGTCGGGAAGCCGGGCTTAGTCGGTTCGGTGTTAGAGTTCTCTCTCTATATGATAATGGCTTTTGCTTCCATTGAAGTGCATTGAGCTATAGGTGATAGAGTTTTACCGGCGATTCCCGACTGCATTCTTTCGCGGTGATGTCATGTGTTTGTTCGATGAGTCGGCCGGCATATCGGTCAGGGGCGGCTTCAGATTCGTTACAGTATCTTAGAGGTGTAAGTATTGTTTCACAAGTTTGCTCAAGTAAGGCATTTGAGATCTCGTCACATCCTGAGGACTTCGAATTTTTCATATTTGCAACAAACACTTTTATTCGTGTTTCACAGAAAATATAGTTGATATTTTGATATTCGAAAAAAAAAAGGTTCACGACTATAATTTACTGCAAGAAATCTCAATGTATCAATACTAAAACTGCCCACAAATTCCCATTGAACTAAATTAACTCCTATAATACTGAAAAAAAACTCTCATTTAAAATAGAACGATCTTTGTGAATAATCGTTTTCAATTTTTCCAACAAATGCACCAATCAATTGAATTGAAACAAATAAATTGTTAAGTGAATAAATTATTGAGAAATGATTATTTGAAACAGTAAAAAGTAAAATGGCATTCCACAGCATTCCTACTGAAATCTCATATTACGAGAATGAGACAAATTGGATTGCACCACACTTATGGACTATCCTGTAGAATGTTGTTGAACCCATCTGAAGAAAAATGGAGAGTCAAAATGGAGATTTCAATTTCTGAAGATTTTTTATTAGAAATTTTCTCCTAAATATCGCAAACCGTTTGAAACATTTGCATCAACTGATGAAAAAATCGCGCTCCCCGTAATACTCCCATGCAAACAGAATATACCCGTACAGGCACCTGTCAATAATTCTGTATCATATCTTATCAACTTTTATATAAATATGTGAACAAGACCCGTCCACCTGGCAAAGATAGGTGATGTATTGATAAATTACTATCAATCAGAACGCGTCGTGTGTTGTTGGAGTGAAAGTTGTCGAAAAAAATCGTTCTCTTGTGCTTTACATCATGTCGGGGTACGAGGATTATCCACCCTACGAGAACACTACTTGGCATATCATACCTCCCGATTACATTCATCTGGAAGAGGAATATAGATACCCGTAAGCATTCGTTTTACACTTCTCTTGAAATATTTTCCGACGGTAAAAATGGAACAGTACGATATATCAAATAGTTTTGTCTTGTCTTGCATTGGGCAGCAACCTTTGAAAAACTCTCAATTCACACATAAAAAATGAAGTATCCAAACACAATCCATACTTCATTTATATAATTTAAACCTCTGGTGTGAAATTACTCTTATGAAAACACTTTTTTAGACACTAGATCGTACTTCCTTTCGCTATGACTTAGCGAATCTACTAAGTTTGCTGATGTTTCAATTTATAATTGTTATGTTAAAGACAATTTGTTTCCCTGGTTGCTACTTGTAATTATTACATAAGAGCAGAGTCTATAACAGTCGGTTTGGACTGTTATAGACTCTACTCTATGACTCTGCGATATTTTTGATAACTAAGGTGACTTAGTTATCAAAAATATCGAAAATGATTTAGAATTTGATGTATGTGTATGATAAGAACACACACACCCTCAGATATATCCCTGATAAAGGGTCTTTCAACAGGCACTTCCGAACTTTGACAATTGATAACGACTGTCTTGTTCTGCCAAATCACCATGGATTGATATAGCATTCTGAATACCGAAATCTGCGGGAAACATTGCCACTGTCTGTGAGAGTGTGCCGGAGAATCCGAGGCAGTTGATTTCGCGTCGCTCACAAGAACTCGGCCTTTCGCAGACCACAACTTGGCGAATTTTGCGTCGTTACTTGGACCTGCACCCGTACAAGATTCAACTGACCCAGGAACTGAGGGTAAACGACCGTGTGTTCGCTGATTGGGTTCTGGAGCAATTGACAACTGACCCTAATTTTCATCGAAAACTCATATTCATCGATCAGGCCCATTTCTGGATGAATGGGTACGCGAACAAACAATATTATCGAATTTGAGACGACACCAATCTACATGAGATCCAAGAGTGTCCAATACATCCCAAAAAAAGTCACTGTTTGGTATGGGTTTTGGGCTGGCGGCATCATCGGTCCATATTTCTTAGAGAAGGATGATGGCCAGCGCTCATTGAAAGACCTTATATATCCTAACACTACAAGTGTTGTATTACCCAAAAGATGGGATAATAGAAATGAAAAAGTCGGGTATTCACTAAATAAGCTGTGAGGTTTGGAACAAAAAATGTTGGTCAAAATAAGAGTGTCATAATAAGTCGTTTCAAAGAACACGTTTCACGTATTCGTCACTCGTACACCGGATTTTAAACTTATAATAATTGATACCATTACATGACAATATGCCTTTAGAAACCTTTGAAAGTCTAGAAATTGAAAAATGTACAATGAGATGAATGAACAGTTTAGTTTATCATCTTAGGTATTAATTACACGCAGTGGAATGAAAGGTATCATTACACGTATTAAACATTGCGATAATAATTAGGAATATAAGAATTGGTACTGAAAGAAATCATTTAATGATACTCATTACCGTACACTGTAGTTCATTTGAATTTATTTGAAAAGCTTTAATCAAGTATCAAGAAAATAGTTCATTATCTTTTAATGATTGTATTGAAAACACATTTCCACGTCAGCACAAAAATATTCCCTTTCAACATGCGTTTGGCCAACCAAGTCAGCATCATCAGGAGATGACTCAAGCAAAATTCTACGTCTTTGATAATATTTTATATGCATCACGAGGAGTCATTATCTTTCATAATGAGGGACATTAAATTAATTCCTACATGATGAACAATATACCTTTTCAGGGCTCATGTTCACAAACTAACTCTGATACAATGATGGAGGTATTACCTGTTCTGAAAACTATACAATTAGCTTTGGCTGTATTCAAAAAAAGTTAATTTTGGATAAAATATGTTGAGGATGTAGAAACAACACTAATATATTACTTTCCAAATTCATATAGCAGTCAAGAGATGAAACGAGATTGGAATTATCAGCATAACTGACACGTTTGGTACTGGTGTTTTACAAAAATTTAGAAAAATCGTTCATATAGATAATAAACAACAAATGACCTAGCACACTTCCTTGTGGAACACCTTCATGAATTTCAGCTACGTCAGAGTTAAAAAAACTTCTGCTTGATGT